TGGACAAAGAAAACAAACTTGTTCATCAATTTAGAAAAGCTATTTCTTCTTTCTCCTTATTTAAATAAGAATTTAGTTCAGGAAATTTTAGCAAGCTACTTGGGGGAAAAAAACCAAACAACACTATAATTGTCAGAACATAAAAAGCAATACTGACCCTAGAGTTCTTTACTTAAGCTTCTGCATCAGTATTTTGCTTCCAGGTTAAATATTGAACCAACCAGGCAGTACTTAGGGACTTGGCTTCAACTAACATTTGCTTTATAGTTACCCCAAGCCATAGTGTTTGGTATTTAAAACAGGCTGACACTGAAAATTCATTTAAAGGTCCACTTCACTCACTTCATGTTTTTGCAAATAACTCACTGATTAAAATGATGCAGAACATGAAAAAATATTAAAGTAATCTCACATGCCATCTGCATGAGACATAAATAATGTCTATTTCCAAATTTAAAGGTGTGAACACACAAAATCAGAGATTTGAAGCTGTATTAAACCTGAGCTATTCATTCATCCCTTATAAGAAACCAGGAGAAAAAAAGTTATGAATAGCTTCAGTTTCTCAGCTATAACAAAAAATATCTTTAATCTTAAAATACATTGAACCAGTTAATTTAAGTAATAAATGTGTTATTTTAACTAAAACCAAAAACAAACAAACAAACAAAACCCCACCAAACAACAACAACCAAAAAAAAAAACCCAGAAAAGTTTTATTGCTTCTTTAGTAATTTAAGGAATGCTGATGCAGCACACCAAAATATTCACACAACACTTTATCAATATCTTGATTCTTGAATAAATCTTATTTATTATCCACACATAAGACCTTCCATAAGTAAATGATAATGCACTTTTTCCTAGTTTATTCGAATTGGGGTTTTTTTTGAGGAGGAATATTCTCACTCTCATGGTTTCATTTCCCAGCATTTCTAAGGGTTTTTTTTTCATAGAAGCATAGAATCATAGGATGGCCTGGGTTGGAAGGGACCTTAAAGATCATCTAGTTCCAACCACCCCTGCCATGGGCAGGATCACCTTTCACAAGACCACTATTCCCAAAGAATATTTCTTCTTTTCAAGCTGATAACCTGAGATACCCAAGATAAGAAAAAACTGTCCAACATTTTAAAAATCCCAGTCAAAGAGATATTCCAGTCAAGATAAAAATCACTATAACATCAAACCTGAATTTTTCAAGTCTTTCCTAAAAGTTTTGATTACCTGCCAGTGCTAAGTACTACTATGTCAAAATACTTTATCAATAACCAATTTTTATATATGTGATGCATTACTGAAAAGGCAAAATTTGTGTTCACTGCCAAGCTTGCTATCAAATAATATATAATAAACAAAAGATTTTAAGCAGTAGAAAAATTTTGACTGCCATGAGAGTATGAAAAAACAGTATGTATATTTGATGATTATTAAGGTGCATGAACCATCAATTAATTGTAACTCTATTTATGACTGGTTTAATGTGTTCTGAGCAGGGAAAGCCCTTATTTTCTTGCTGGTAGCTGTCCAAACATATTCAAAGTGATGTTGTCATGTTCACGACACATTACTTTCAACCTGACACTTTAATCAACTCTTGAATGCTAATCAAGTAGTGACATATGGAAGCAATATTTCTGATTTTAAGGAACTAAAGCAGGAATAACTACACAGAAAAAAGCAAAACTTGTTTGTGCGCTCTGCCTAACACCTTTCCTAAAACCCACACCAGTACAGACATACACCTAGAGCAAGATGGAGCTTTATGAATCTCAGACAGCAAGGGTATGTGGTGGTATCCACTGGGAAGATTAAACTCACTTGCCTTGTGCCAGGGATTTCCTCTTACTCCTGGTCTGAAGTTCCTATATTCTGCCTAGGGATAAGCATGGTACAGTTTTAACGAGGATTTAAAAATAAGACTTCTGCTGTTGCTAATAGGAGATGCATGACTAATTCCCAGTGCATGTGGTGGAAAGACAACCTGAGGGTCTGTTCTGTTTTCAGCTGCAGATTGATTTTATTTCAGAACCTAAATGGGACTCTCGAAAAATCCTGAATTAAAAGCCTGATTTGGGTCTATTTTATTTGGATTGACCTCCCCTCTGGTGGGACTGCAATCCTCAGAAACAGGCAAATAAATTAACTCCCTAGACTTTCCTCTGTCTCTGCATAGGTTTTGGCACCAGACCCAGGGAAGGAAAAAAAACAAACAACCAACTTTCATAATATTTCTTTCTGCAATCAAATAAGCCACAAAGTAATAACCAGGATGCAGCAAATGGATATTTTGTAATGATATATCATATATTTCTATGGTGAAATAAAAGGTACTACTTCATAAGAAGCTCATCACTGTATTTCAAAATAAGCAAATCACTATACATGTAAGAAGCCAAAGAATATTATTCTATAGCACATATTAGTTTTCAAGTTTAAATGGGTGGTGCACCATTAGAGAATTACTAGCCAAACTCTTTTCCCATTTTCAAAAATCAAAGTGGTTGGGAATTTGTTGATTCATATTTTTAAAAATCATACATACTCATAAATAATAAATGCAATAAAAATGAAACTTAAATAGGAAAGAAAGATTTAATAGGTAACATATTGATGATCTTGAAGGTCTTTTCCAACCTTAGTAATTCTAAGATTCTATGATTAAGAGTCAGTGAATCTCAAATTCCCGGCTTCATACAGAAAAAAAATTAATTAATGTGACAAAGTGTGATTGACAGGTCCAAATGAAAATTCAGACTGCATGTGGCTCTAACAGTAATTGTCCCTCTCCCCTAGAGACAACAACCTGCTACTGTAAGAGGCAAGAGAAGTGAAAACCAATCTCAAGGAAGAATAGGCAAGTCAAATATTCAGTCATTGAAAACTATTCTGTGAGATCCAAAGAGCAATTCCTTGCTTCTCTTGGCATCCTACAAAACATATACAATAAAGGACAAAAAATGAAATCTGCTTCCCAAGGTGTAATTCAGTAAAAAAAAAAAAAAAAAAAAGGCTTCCAAGCAATAAAAGTTGTAAACTGTGTCTCATCCACTGTTTCTCAGAAGGAGTTGTTGTCATACCTGTATCATAAATGCTCCCTAACACACTGTGATGTAGACAAGGAATTGCAGATACTATTTTCAAAGTGTACAATTGTTCCCTAGTATAGTGGACACTGAAACCTCTATCAAATGACAGGTTAGCTCCTGTGAACAGGAAGAAAAATGAAAACAGTGTTCTAGAAATGTTATCAGTCTTTCCAGGGTTATAAAAATTGCTTGTAGATTACATTGTAAAAAGATAAAAACTTAATTCTACATTGCTGAATGACTAGGTTCTAACTGCTCGCTGTGTTCTGATGACACATGGACTTTTCAACTATAAAATAAAACCTGGTGATCATTTTGTGTTTGTTGAGAGGAAATCTGTGATTTTGAGGTATTCTCATGCTGTTATCTCTGAAAATTCCATCTGTAACTGATTTTTCTAAAATAGAATTACAGTCTTCCTGGTAATTTTCTAGGCTTCCACATCTCTGGTAATAAATACAAAAGCCAGACCCAAAGAATCATGAACCATACATGTTGCATATGCAGTTGCCTCTCTCCAGAAATGTACATTTTAATCTGTTATTTTCATTTTATTAGATACTAAAGTTGTACCTTTCCTATGGAAGTCATAATCTGTCTTCATTTTTAGGTTGATGGGCTGTACAGTAACATTACCTAGCATGCATTTTTAAGGGATAGAAGTGTCTTTAGGAGTAGCACCTAAAATCTTAAATTCAATGTAACAACAAAACATTTTACATACTATCATGATGACAATCTTATATCAAAGTTCACATGGTGTTTATAGATATCCTAATAATGCAAGATGAGGTTTTATAACATCTCATAACAATGAAGTATCAATTCTCTTCAAACAAAAGCAAAGGAAATGTCCTGCCAGTTCTCTGTAATCCTGCATTTTAGGTGCACTTTAGCACTTATTAAAGTCAGAATCCCAGAATAATCCTCTAGGTCTGTCAGTTAAGCACACCATGTAAGAATACGAGTTAGGATGGTTCTTTCCCCCATCATACTGACATTTCCATTTTCATCCCTGTGTCATTTATGGAAGCTGCACGCAACTGTGGCCATGAATTTTAAAAAGCTCAGGGTCACACTAGGGTCTCTTTCCTCTTGATGAGACTTTGAAAGAGGAAAAAGACCGCATACTAGAAATTAGGACCCTAAATTGAAAAAAAAATCAAAACTTAAAAATGTATAGATCCTATTAAATTTCCTTCCCCCTTTTTAAAAACATGCAGCCACTTTGAATGCTGAAATGTGTTATTATATGAAGATTTTTGCTTGATGATGAACACAGGAACTTATTTGCATCTTGAAAGATAAATACTTAATTTTGAAATACAACTAATGAATACTCAGCAGAATATGCATTTTTTTGCATAGTTTAGAAAGACTTTATGCAAATTCTCAACTAAAGTCTGTTACTGCAATTCTAGAAATGCACTGCATGCAGTATTGGTACTACTATCTCACACAGCATGTTATTTACCTGAACTGTATCTGATTTTTTGGGATACTCAAAAATATTTTCAGAACTCACCTCTGCCTGAGGCCAAACAGCATGTAAATAAGAGCTGTCAAGAATTGTTTATTTTAAATGAGAACAGTATAGAGAAAGAACGGATCAGAAAGTTAGAATATTTAAGAGTTTCATTTCATCTCATCTCCAGTTCCATTTGTGAAACTCAGATCCAATCCCAATGGATCTCTTTAACTGTGGCTCCTACTAATTCATAAAATGAATTGTATGTCTAATAGAGCACATCTCTGAAGTATTAGTGAAAGAAGTAAAAGTGACAGTAACCACAATCCTGTACTAAAAATGGCGCCAAAAATTTAGTTTGGAGGTTATTTGTTTTAAGAATGGGACCCAACTAATGAGCTTAGTATTAAAATATAAGATCACTTTGTTCACATGCTACTTACAGCCTTCATAAATATCTGTTGGTATGTGGACTGCTGCATGTTGGTAAGACGTTTGCCGTCGGAAAACAGGATCATCTTCAAATACCGGTCTGATTCTCTGGCTGCCAGATTCAGTGTCATTCTTTTCAGGCTTTTTAAGGAAAGACATGTAAAGGGCAAAATATTACAAGTATGCTAAAAACAATTCCATTCACATTTGCCTCTTTTTACCTAAATGATTCATAGCCTTTCTTTCATTGCTAACATTTTGTATTTGTGTATAAACACAATTAGTTGCTCCAGGTCCAGGAATACTTTTGTATAGTTTTCTTTTAATTTTGACTTATGCAATGAAAGTCAGTGAAATGAAGACCTGCAAAAGAAAAGTAAGAGCCTAACACCTTACATGTCTAAATTTTTCATAAGCGCACGTAATTTTTACAACTATAATGCAAAGCAAGTACATCACCTTTTATTATGTTTAATAATTTGTACTGAATCTTAAATGTAAACACTGTATCTTATTTTTTTCCTTCTGCAGATTATACAGTAAATCACAAACCTAAAAATGATACCACTCATATACATTTCATAAATGGATTTTTGAGAAACTGTGGTGTAAATTCAGACAAAGAAAGGAAATTAAGCCTTCTTAGAATTTCTGACTGAATCAGGATTTGTTCACTGGTCTATTTTCACAATGAAATCTCATGTAATGGCTATATCTGCCTGGGTAGAAATGTTCCCAAATGCTCAGGTGCTCACCATCACCTCTCTGCCTTAGGTTCCCATCCTCTCTTACCTGTCTGCACCCTGACACACATTCCTTGATTCCTTCCAATTGACTCAGTCAATTTGGACTAGTTCTTAAGAATTTTGAAAAGCAGAGATTTTTCTAACTCTTTTACAAAAATTACATGGAGTGTGGAACAAAGGAGGTAGAGAAGGCCCAAGAAGAGGTGGCAATATCTTCACCTGTCTCAGCTGCAGCTGGAATAGGAGGCCCCACGACATGAGTTGACTGCCACTTAAAGCAATAACAAATCAACCGTGATACTGAATGGTTACTCAGGCCAGCAACTGTAGGCAATTATAAGGATATTTTTAATACTATAGAGTCATCAGTTTCTGAAAATGTGTTATGCTTGATAAATAGTGCTGACAACGAAGCACCTGCTGGTCAGTCAGGCATGTGTGTGCTGAAGCTATTCTGCTTATTATTATCCCCTATCAAAGTATAGACAGCTAAATTTTAACTTACCCACAAAGTCATCTGATCAACTGCCTGTTTTCTCATCTGCTTCATCACAGGGTTACAGACAAATGTTATACTAAATATAGATTCAAATGTTGCCTAAAGTAAGCAGCAGTCTCAGACTGGTTTCAATGAAGTGGTTTCCTTTTGAAACACAAAGGGCAGAACTCATCTAACTAGAGACATCCACTGTGTTCAACAACATAGCAGTGTTGTGCTCATCATTCCAAGCTGCCTTCTTAGGCAAGGAAGAGAAACGGTCATGTTTAGAGTACAATTCATCTCATCTTAATTAGATGCCTATTTTCCCATGACATAAATCATGCTTTAGAAGTGTCTCCTACTTTTGACTGATTCTAAATGTAGCCATTGGGCAAATCACCCAGATGCAGAAGTCTGGAATACAGCTGTCTAGAATTAGGTGAGATGGATCTCACAACACAAGTTTATTAAAGTTTTGGTAGAAAAGAAGGTGGGTACTAATTCTGACTACTTTCACACAGCTGCTATATTTTACACTAAGTTCAACTTGTTACTTAGTACCTAATCCCTCTCTGGGGGTGGGCAAGAGATTGGGAGGGGTCATAGCCAGGACAGTTGACCCAAGCTGACTAAAATGATATTCCACAGCTAAGGATATTGTGCTCAGCAATATAAGCTAAGAGAAAGGAGGAGGGAAGGTAGGCATTCATCATTAAGGCCCTACTTCCCAGGAAGTGTCTGGACATCACCTGCTGATGGGAAGTAAGGAACAGATCTTTTTGTTTTCTATTGCTTCAATGTGTGGCCTTTGCTTTTCTTTATTAAACTGTCTTTATCTTGATCCACGAGCCTTTAGTGGTCTTATTTTCTCCCCTCTGTGCTGCTGGGGTGGGGGTGTGATAGAGAAGAATGTGATAGAGGACTTGGTGGGGAACTGGCAGCCAGTCCAGGTCAATCCCCCACAACCATTATACCTTACTCTGAACTGTGCAAACTGGAGCAAGGATCGGTACAATTTTTGCATTATATGATTTGAAATATATGCATTATGATAGCTTCAGACAACGTAATTTAGCTCAATTTTACACAGAGGGTTTTTTTGTTGTTGTTTTTGTTGCTCATTTGTTTAGGGTTTTTTGGGGGGCACGCATTTGTTTGGGGTAATGGTGGTGGATGTTTTTGGTTTTGGGGTTTTTTTTTGTGGGAAGAGGGTTGGTTTGGTTTGGCTTTTGTTGTTGCTGTTGTTGTTGTTTTCTTCTATACTATCACACAGGACTTTTTCTTTCCTCAGAACTGGAATGCTAAACAGTAAGCAAATTCTGGAGTCTTCTTCACAAATTATCTTTCAGCTTCATGCTGCTCAAAGTAATGAGTTTGTCTAATTCTGCAAATGCTATCTCAACAATCAATCATTCATGTGACAAAACTTCCCTCCTGCCTGAGAGTAATTTGATTTTAAAAAAAAAATCCTAACTATTATTTCTGAAATTACACCACTGCAAACTCAGTGCTTTCACAGATAAATTCAGAAAAGAATTGAGAATCATCAGGGCACATTATTACAATAAAACACCAGAATGAGTGAATGTCAAAAGATTTCTTTCAACTAATTTTCCACAAGACATATTTGGGAGGGAAGGGGTATGGTAAAGAGAAAGGGGGTAAAAATAATTACAGAATATCCTGAGTTGGAAGGGACTAGATAGGATCATCAGAGTTCAACTCCTGGTCCTGTATAAGACAGTCCCAAGAATTACACCATGTGTCATATGGTCTACCCTAGCAGGTCTTGCACAGAAGTTTTCATATTACAATACATCTAGATTTTTGCTTGAAATTCTTGAAGCATCTGAACATAAAATGATCATGTTTCTTCTTTTTGATATTTTAATTTCATTCCAATTAAGAAATACAACCTTTAAGTCTCTCCATTCACTCATATGCTATGAAAGAAGACTCAAGTCTCCTGCTAAAATTTGTTTAAACTTTGCTGAAAATTAAAGGGTTTAGTTAATAGACTTGAATGCCTTAAAATTTCAAACACAAAATCTGCTTCTCATATTTCTAACAGCGCACATGCCCAGGTGCCCCTAAAAAAGACTGTGATAAAGACCCAGTCTGTTATTCTTCATACCAATATTCCATGATACCAAAAAAAACCATTAATCTAAAAACTATTCTCAACCTATTAACGCAGGGTAGTGGATCTATATCTACATAAACTAATGTAGAAGCTGTCACATTCTTCTTGTTGACTTTTCCTGGGAGTATTTTGTGATGTACAGCTCTCATTTTGAAACAAGGCATCAATCTGTCCCCAAACCCAAAGACATCAAATGACAAGATCCTTTTAAAATTACATAGTTTCCCTTACACAGGAACATTTTGTTCTATTAAATCTAAAGCTCTTGACTAGTTCTGCACACAACAGATAAGTATCATTACGTAAATTATTGTTGAACTCACTTGGGCCAGTACCTCCTGACCAGCAAGACCAATGATGTGCCAGGCCTTACACATCAAATTTATAGTGCATCCTTCTATAGAAAGTAAATCTATATAGTTTTGATTGTCAAACTTATGAATTTCAAGTAGCTTACATTTAAATTAGGAAAAAAAAAGGAATGGTTAAAAAGAAAGCCCTAAATATTATTAATTATTTTAGTCTGGCATTTTTATGAAAAGCCTGACAGATTGTGATGTCAGTTGGTACAGTTTAAATACCCAGTTAAACTTTGTTTTCAGGAAAGTAGCAAAACAAATATTTTGAAGGAAAGTGATCCAGCATGTGAATACAATTAAAATCCAACTCCAACCAATTTCTCTCCCAAGTCAGGAGCTGAAATGCAATCAATACTGGCACAGGAAAATCCCATGGGAGATAGTGGCTGAAGATTAATTTTCTATCTATTCAAACCCGGCCTTCCCTTATTGCATTACATTTTTACCTACCACTGACAGTCAGCAAAATAACTCACTCATTTCTCTGCAATGAATTTCCAGACCAATTTCTCTCTCCCTTGAGAGACAGATAAAATCCATTTCTCTTTTCAGTTCACGTGCCATTTCAAGACTTTTTTTTTTAACAAATAAAGTATTTTTTTCATATATCTACCGTTCATCACCAGAATAAAAGGAAATTGATATAGCAGCTGAAATTCGGATAAAGTGAGTTTTTCTGTAGCCATTCTTTGTGATCTTTTCTAAATCACTTTTGGCATGATCTGCAATAAACTACAGGCTGCCTTCTGTGTTTTTTTTGTATGCCAAATACATAACAGAAATAATGCAACTTCTTTCTCAAGGGCTTTGTGAACGTAAATTAATGTATATACATGAGATAACTGGGAGCTTTATGCCAAGAAGTATCACTGAAAGATGTGTCTAGAAAAGTAAATATCCATTAAAACAAAATCAAACAAGGTCATTTCAAGAAACTATGACATAGTTTAGCTGCCCATTTCATTGCAGCAGAACATATCCCGATACCTTTTTATTGTATTCAGCTACTTTCCATCATCACAGCTATAAGAAGATAAGCGGATTTTGTGTCTTCACTTGTAAATTTTCATTCAGTTGAAAAATACTGGTTACTGTGGAAATCAGAAGACTTGTCTGCAAATATAAAATTATTTTTTTCTTCTTGCAGCTGTTGAAAACTGAAGATCAGAAAGCTGATGTTAATTTAAAAAAATTATCAGTGAAATACGGAAAAAACCCCACAAGCAAACTGAAGCAATCTTCAGTTGTTTTCTGAAGACAGACTCTTTTCAGGAACAGTGTAGAAGTTGATCAAAGCATCAGAACAGAGTTAGCATCATGACAAAAGAATAATCTTTCAGTTCCTGAACAGACATCCATCCAGAAACGATGATACCTGCCTGCTTTCATACTAATGTAAAATAGAAACTAAT